GATCCCACCGGAGGGGGGGTGAGCGAGCGGCTGCGTGGGGTTAAACCACGACAACCATGCTGATTTGTTGCCATGAGAATTTAACTGGATGGAGTAAAGAGGAGATGCTGCTGGTAGTGTCTGCTATGTTAAACACAAACGTCCCAAGATATGAGCTGCAGCTGCTTTTCAAAGAACACCCAGAAGTAGAAGGTAAAGTAAGAAATGTACCTACAACTAATAAACATGTGGTGCACTGCTGCTACTTTTTGTTGCTGTTACAGCTGTATCAGCTGTATCATTACAGGGCTTGGTATTCAAGTAAAATCTGAATAAGCAGAGGATAGAGATTGTTCCATGCCTAAGGGAAGCGCAGATCTGCACAGAGATGAACAGAGCACAGGGACAGACTGTCAGAGCAGAGCAGTAGGACGTAATATGACAACAGATCAGGGAGGAGTGGTATAAAGAGGGAGGTTTGCAAATATGGGAACAAGATACTCAATATGAATTACAGAAGAAGCAATACCATGAAGTTAAAGTCTTGGGAACATGAGATTGTGAAACCGCATTTTGAATGTATTCAGTGGGGCTAAAGAATCCAGAGAAGAGAATGTAATGTAGAGTTTTTTATGAGGAATTAGACATTAAGCGTGAATTTTTTACCAAAAGAAGTGGCAGGTTGAGTCACAGAATTGCTTAGGCTGGTTAATCCAACCTGCTTGCTCAAGCAGGGTCAGCAAGAGCAAGCTTCCCAGACTGTCTCCAGTCTGGTTTTGAGTATTCTTCACAGATTAAGACTGCACAACCTCTCTGGACAACCTGTTCCAGTGTTTGACCACCCTCACAGTAAAAAAGTGTTTTCTTTTGTTCAGATTGAATTTCTTTTCTTTTTTTTTTTTTTTTATTTTTGTGTCCATTGGCTGCTGTCCTGTCACTGGGCACTACTGAAAAGAGCCTGGCTCCCTCTTCTTCATTTTCTCCCATCAAGTATTTATACACATTGATAAGATCCCCCTAAGCCATCACTTCTCCAGGCTAAACAGTCCCAGCTCTCTGCCTCTCCTTATATGAAAGATGCTTCAGTCCCTTAATCATCTTTGTGGTCCTCCCCTGGACTTTTTCCAGTATGTCCATGTCTTTCTTATACTGTGGGCCCAAAACTGGATTCAGCACTCCAGATGTGCTGAGTACAGAGGAAGGATCACTTTCCTTGACGTGCTGGCAATGGTCTTCCTCGTGCAGCCGAGGGTCATGTTGGCCTTCTTCATCGTGAGGGCATATTGCTGGTGGATGGTCAGCTTCTCATCACCAAGGTCCCCAAAGTCCTTCTTTGCAGAGCTAGTCTCCAGCAGCTCAGCCCCCAGCATGTACTGATGCCTGGAGTTACTCTTACACCAAAGTAAGACTTTGCATTTCCCATTTTGAACTTCATGAGATTCCTCTCTGCCCAATTTGCCAGCCTATCAAGGTCCCTCTAAGTGGCAGCACAACCCTCTCGTGTAACAGCCCCTCCTTCTGGTTTTGTATCATCTGTGAACTTGCTGAAGCAGCACTCTGCCCCATCATCCAGGTCATTAATGAAGAAGGTAAACAGTATTGGCCACAGTATCAATCCCTGTGGTATACCCTGAGGTATACCACTAATGACTTGCTTCCACATACCAGAACCTCTGGGCCTGGTTGTTCAGCCAGTTTTCAATTCACCTCACTGTCCATTTATTTAACCCATACTTTGTCAGCTTGTCTACCAGGATGTTGTGGAAGACAGTGTTAAAAGCCCTACTAAAGCCAAGGTAAACAACATCCCACTGCTCTCCACTCGTCCAACAAGCTAGTCAGCTCACTGTGGAAGGTTATCAGCATGACTTTCCCTTTGTAAATCCATGCTGACTACTCCTGATCACTTTCTTGTCCTTCCTGAGGTCGGAAATGGTGTCCAGGATTAGTTGCTCCATCACCTTCCCACGGATTCACATGAAGCTGCTTAGCCTGTCATTCCCTTGATCTTCCTTTTTGCCATTCTGGAAGACAGGTGTGATGCTTGCACTCTTCCAGTCTTGATGAACACTCCCAATTGCTGTGGCGTTTCAAACATTATCAAGAGTGGCCTCTCAATGACATCAGTCAGCTTTGCACTCATGGGTGCAACCCGTCAGGCCTCAGGGACTTATGTATGTCGTTTGTTTAAGTGCTCCCTAAACTGGTCCTCCGCCACCCAGGGTAAGTCTTCCTTGCTCCAGAGTTTTTCTCTAGTTGCAGAGCCTTGGGATTCCTGAAGGGTAGGATCATTTGCTTACAGCAGACCTAATAAGGTGGTCCAAATTTATTCATAATCCAAGGTGGAGTGTCTGATTCAGGTGCATACAAATCCAGTATAGAGATAGGTGTCTTTCTGATAGTGAAACAATATCATGTGGTTCCCCATGGATCATATTTCCTTAGAAGCAAAGGGAAAACTAGGACTGGCTTTTTGATGCCATTGCCATCTGTTTTCTTAAAAGCATCTGCTTTTCTGAAAGGAGGAGGCAAAATCAGAGGAAATGCACAGAGAAAAGCTACTCTCATAGCATGTTACATTTCCATAAAGATGGTGAGGGTCAACATTTTTGTGCTGTTATTAGAGAGCTATATGAAATAAATAACAAGAGAGAATGTGCTTAAAGGGTCCGTTTTAGTTCTTGGTACAAAACCCATTAACTATCAGGAAGAAGAAGTAATATGTAGAGACCGAAGAAAAAATTACCTATTTGCGGGCATTTCTGGAACATATTTGCAAGTCAGCTAAATGATTCGGCTTTTGGGTTAAGGGCTCATTACCAGGAGGAAAAAAAATCTTACCATGTAGAACAGCTGAAGCTGTAAGAAGCCCCAAATCCCTGGCCTATTAAATTTGTTTAATCTACTCTCCTATAGTGTCCCTGCTAACAAGGAAGTTGACTGATGTCATTGTGAGGCCACTCAATCATCTCTGAAAGGTCATGGCAATTGGGAGAGTTTCATAAGGAAGAGAGTTTCATAAGGAAGAAGAACAAGTTCACAGAAAAACCTTTTGAATTCTTCACTAGTGAAAGATAACACAGAAGTCCTAATTCCGCAAAACAGTGATATGTATGTTTGACTTCATAATTTCTTGTCCTTTTAGAATGCCCTGCATGTCAAGTTCTTCCATCCAAAGAAAGACTTGTCAACGTGTCTGACAGAACTGACCTGAGAGAAAAAATAGTTTTCCACAGAGGATAGCTTCCTAGCATGTCTGATCAAACTGATGGCCACTGTGCAGGTATTAAGCCCCTATCTTTCCATTCTATGACCTCACCCTCATCTTCTCTGACATAGCTGAAGGGACCTATTTAATTTACAGCAGAAATTGTAAATTCCCCCAACACTGTAAGAAGTATTCAGTGAAAAATTTCCCTTCCATAGTATGTAAAAAAATTCATTCACTAAATTGTTTTCCATGAAGTTTTCTGGACAATCTCTATTATACCTTTGTTCTACAGATTGGACTCCCGAGGCTCCTTCTTCACACTACACTCTATGAGTCCTTCATAGTATCACTGATAGTGGAACTTCTGCAACTCCTAATATAGTAAATTTAATTGAAATACTGGCAGAGAATCTAATACTTCTTCTATGGACTAAATTGCTGTTGGCTTCCTTAGAAACAATAAGGTGGCCTTTTCTTTATTTGATTTGCAGACACAAAAGCATTCCCCGAGGTGCAGAATGAATATCTCACCAGAAATGCATGAGAAGAATCTGGCTACATAGAAACAACTCATGCAAGAAAGCTACTACAAATAACTCTTTAATTCTGAGTCTATTTCTGCTGTAAGCTATTTTTCAAAGTGTGGTGTTTTAAATTTGATTTAATTGACCCTAAAATGAATGACAGCTACTTGAAATAAAGGGATTGTTGAAGTACACGCTGAGTAGAAATCACAACTTACTGCAGACTGTTGCAAGGTAAGGAAGTCAAATAAAGAAGGTTTTGGTACAAGTGAAAAGTCATTCTTTATTGACAGGGATTTTTCTTTTTACCTTTCCAAATCAACTGCAATTTTTAGAAGAACTTTGAAGGGTAGTTTGACTGTATGGGAAACTAACTAGTCAACAACTTCTGAAGAATCTACCAGAATTTTCCCATTTCTCTGTTTTCTGGTGTAGTCAGAAGGTATTTGGACTGAGAGAATATTCCTGAGGTCATCTTTCATCTGCATAAACAATGCCTCCATACAGGAGGGACCTCCTTGTGGTCTCCAACTGAGCACAGTGCATGCAACAAATGTAAAGTGCAGGTATTTGGTAATATCACAACAATGTTCATGAATTTGCTCACTTCTTTTTCTGCAAGTTGATATCCAAAAAATTTTTTTGGAGCTGTGCACAGTCAGGATGTTCTCCGGTGGAAAAGACAACAACAGGTTTATGGTTGAATTCAGTATGCAACGTGAGGTATTGCAGCACTTTCCCTGTCTGAGTGTCAAAGTAATCTACCATCTGAACATATGGGAAGCACCCATTCAGCTGCCTTGTCACAATATAAATTAACTTGACTCTTTTCCTATGGTGATCAAGGCAGTAGCATTCATAGGAATATTTATTTTCCCAGTCAGAGTCCAGTTCTCTTTCCTCTCATTACCATACTTGCAAGAGTTAGAGACCTATTTCCTTGCATCAGCACAATCCCCAAGGGAGTACACTATTCCTCCACGGGTCACCATGATGTGGAAGACTAAACCTATAGGCACTACCTCAGCCCAGGAATTGTTTTCTATGTCACGTCTCTGAGGTGTCTTTGAGGTAGTAATCTGGTCTGCTATTCCTCCAGTGACACTAACTGCTGATGTTGCACTAGGAGCTGCTTTTCATGGCATCTCTGTCAGTTTCAGCCACATGTATGCAAAACATGTAAGCTCAAAAGTATAAGCAAAACCCTCATCATTAAATCTTACATCCTCTTTCTGGCCTCCTAAAATCATTATAGAGACAATTAATGTCCCCTTTCTCTGGAAAAGAAAGCAGTCTTCGAGCACATTCTTGCTTCCTGTCACTCAAAATCATTTCCATCTGAGCCAGAGGGCCAGAATGACTGTTGAGCATCAGCATGTCATGGCTGGTAGCCACCAGTGTGTTGGCTGAGACACCCATGTAAGAGGACATACGCAAATATATTTATCTTTCTTCTTTCCTGAATTTCACTTTCTAGATCAGGGCCAGGAAAGGCTGGTTGTCATTCTGTACATGGAGGTCGTCCTCCTTGAAGAGCCTGCCATGTATCTGACAGGAGCTGGGCATGAGTTCTGAAGTATGCACAAGTCCGTGCATAGTCCCTGCACTGTTCACCACCTCTTTAAGCTCACACATGTAGGCTATGAGCAAGTAGAACAGGCAACTTTTCTCCACAAGGGACCTGAGGATAAAAACAGAGCTGTGAGCTCTCACGGAATCACGCTTGAACTACATTGCCACTTTCAGCAGTTCCTCCATATTATTTTGATATGTTGTTTCTTTTCTGTGAACTGCATCTGCCCACATTTAGCCTTTCAAGTCCAAGGCAGAGGTGATAATATGGGCTTTCAGGCACCAGGTGTTATGGTGAGATGCATGGTGTCATAAAATACAGCTGCTAGAACACAGTACACTACAGGTATTGAAGTGTTGAGGGGAAAACAGCTAGGGCTATCTGTAAGTTCTAGCGTAAGAACACAGAACAAGACAAAAGAAGGTAGAAGAAAAATAAAATGAGGCTCTTTTCTCATGAATCTCCTTTCTCAACAGGCTGGAGTAAAACAAATAGGGCTATATGTAGTGTGTCAGAGAAAATCAGTACTGCCCCACATTTGGGAGCACAGGTTGAACACTGACAAGAGCAGGATTTGGCACAGCAGGGACTATGCATGCTGGCCTCCCAAGAAAGTAAATTTATTAGGTAACTGCTAGCAGGAAATACATCCTGCCTTCTATTTGCCAAGTTTTCTACCTAAGTATGTTACTTTTCCCAGGGGATATTAGGATTTTGAAAGGCCACATAGGAGGAATCCAAACTGCACTCTAAAGATGCAGACCAAGGGAATGACATCTGCTAGAATGCTACTTTGTACTGCCTTACAACACTGACAAGTATCTTTGAGTGAGTGGTGGACAGAAATATGGCTAGTTTAAGCTTCTCAGACTATCTCATCTCTACCAGCCATCATATGCATTTCAGCTGGCTCAAGAATGCTAGGTGCTTTTCTGAGGTAGGTGGTATGATCTCAGTCTTTCCCCTCCATGCTCACTCCATAGAGGTATTTAACACCATCTGTCCATAAAGAGCAGGCCCAATTGACCTTCACCTCCAAGAGTGCACAAGGATTTCTTTCCAAGGTGCTGGAAGCCTGAACTGCATATCAGGACCTGAAGCTGTTGTTCATTGTGCCCTCTGATCTGTTGGAGACAAAGAACTGGATCCAGATTCAAGAAGTGCCTCTCACAATGGGACTGAATGCAAATTGGTGAGAACTTGTGACTAAAATCTACAAACCAACTGAAAATGGGTTCAGCTATGACCTCAGACCACAGATTGCGGTGATGAGGCAGGTCCTGAGGACAAGTTGTGATGTCAGCCAGGCAGGCCAGGAGGCTGAGGTGTAGACCAGCACTCCTACAGCACCACTGAGCCAGGACTGACAGCCTTGGGCTAAGCTGACTTGGGACTACTGGGCCCATGGACCCTGACTGTAAGTATTCTGTTTATTCTCACTGTTCTGTGTGTCATCCCAGGCTTTCTGCACCACATACTTTCCCAGCTGCCACTCTGACAACAGATTTATTCATTTCTGTCCTATGGCTCTCCCTTGTGTCTTTTTAAAGTAATAATTTACTTTTACACACCTGTCACCAAGGTGAAAGAAAATTATTCCTCCCCCTCTTTGCCCTCAATTTACAGAGTGTACACTCCTCTCTCCTCTGCCCTACAGAGTACAACTGAAGTACAGCAAGATTAGAGTGGACAGTGTCTATTTATTCCCAATGCCAATTTAGAGATGCCAAAAACCAGGTGTTTACGTTCTGATGGTTCAGCACACTTCTCCTACTGGTTTGTAGCTGCAAGAATTCAACACTTCTGTAAACTAAATCATAATGCCTTGAATAAGCCAGCCATAAGATAAAGAATTCCAACTGGCAATTAGACATGAAAAGCTTGTTTTAGTGATTTGCCCAGTATCACCCAGCAAGTCGGCAGCAAATAGAGGGCAAATCAGAACTGACTCAATTTAGGGACCGGTTTTTCTCTTCCCTAAATCTTTGATCACTGTCAGCCTACTATCTTCTAAACCACAGGATATACAGACTTTAGGACAGTCACCTCCACTAACACTTAGTACAGCATGGGGCAGGATTCATTTTGCAGGGGATATTTTGCTGACTATTCTATAAGTATGCTAAAAGAGGCAAAGATGATGACTGAAAAACAATCTTAAAACTAGCACCCCTTACCTTCTGAGGTTTTTATAGATCTGAACACGTGCTTTGTGTCATAGCCCTAACCATGTGTGTTGTCAAATCAAAAAGCAGTGTGTCCCAGTGATACACACAGGGTTGGAACATACAGATCTCTGCTCCTTCAGTACAGGAAATAACTGAAGAAGAAGAGACAGTTCTGCTGAAGAAGGGAGAAAATATGCTGATGGAAGTCCTCTGCTTAAATTCAAGATCTTTACCAATTTTGAATGTGTTCTAATAGATCACAGCCCTTCACTTGTGATTTTTTAGGAAAAAGATGTTTAACATCATCTGTTCTGTATCCTTCACTGTCTTTCTCCTGCCTTTTTCTCATGCAGACTCCTTATTCCTAGTCCAATTTGTCTCATATTACTCATCCCACTAAGGAAAGGCTCTTTGAGTTTCATGACAGTCCCCTCAGCTGCTGTTTCCAGCAGCATTTCTCATGAAACCGGTCTCCTTCAAGTTCCCCTGTCCCACACCTTTCAGTCCAGCTTCTTGGGCTCCTCAGCTCTTTACCCCATTCTCCCCAGTCCACTGACCCAGTATCAGCCAGTGCCACTCTTTATTCTCTCACTATTCCCTAGTTTCTCTTTATATCCTTTCCTTTCTGAATCCCTTCCCACCTCTGTTACCCTTACTCACTAGTTGTCAGTCACACCATCTCAGACACCCCTTCCAAATACTTTATCCAGTCTCATTCTCCCCCTTCTTCCCTGTGGAAGTCATTTAAACAGTCATTTAAACTCTACAAGATCCGGTGACACGGTAAGTCAATCCAATTTACTGAACTGCTAGCACATCTAGACTCATTCAAAATACACAGGCTTGCTTTCAAACTTGTAACAGAAAGTTGCACAGAGCAAAAGGGAAACATACTGGTAATCTTGGCTAGTCAGAATTTGGGTGGACTCTTAAGTTCAGATGTTGAGATGAAATAGAGAAAATCTACAGAAAACAAATTCTTGCTGTCATCACAAGGAGGTATACTGCCTGTATACTGTTGTCTGGGTGGCCCAATAAAAAAGATACTGCCATTGCTAGCAGAAACCTAATACTAGCCTTGCAAGGCCACAGAACTGGTGGGCTGTTAGGCTTGTTATCAGCTTGTGCGAATTTGCAGTGCAAACTGAAGCTTGGTACCAGGTGTCTTTTGTTATGATGTGGAGTTTAAGTGTGGGATAATACCAGAGACCTTGAAAATATGTGCACAGGCTGAAAACGGAGGCCACAAGACTCTAAACATCTCACTGGTGGTCAGCTTCTGGTTATTGAAGTATTATAACCTTAAGAGCTGGGAACACTGCTTTAGACATAACAAAGAGGACAAAGAAGCAGTCAAACAACAGGATAAGGCAAATGGTGTGGCCAGGGGAAATTAACACCCACTGGCATCGCACAGCATATAGTCCAAAGAAAGGAGACCAAAGAACTTAAAATCCACTGAGAAACTCAAACATTTTATGAATGGACTAGATCTTGATATTCGAAATGAATTGCTGCTGGCAAATAGTCATCATCACTGGTTCATCACAGAATTCTCTTCCTACAAACTGTGTTAAAGCTGTGTTAAAGCACGTTATGTGCTTCAAGGACCACGACTCTTGAAAGGTCTTTTGTTGTGCCAGCCAAGCTCCAGGACTGTATAAAAGTCTGTTTCTGTCTGAGTGCCTAAAGCACATGCGCTTGTTGTCTCAAGTTCTGTAATTCCTGAATAAAGGGTTACTGCATGTAAATTCAATTTGGCTAGTGTGATAACTATCAGTGTGACAACTATTACACTCTGATCAGCCCTGAAGTGGTCAGGCAATTGGACCAGATGATCATTGTGTAGGTCCCTTCCAACTGGTACTGTTCTGTTCTATTCTATTCTGTTCTATTCTATTCTGTTCTGTTCTGTTCTATTCTGTTCAAAGTATATTTCTCATTATTGTGCACAAATATATCAATAAAGTCCTCAGTGTGAGATGGCTCTCCCACTGAAATAAAAAAACCTCCAACAGAACCAGGGTTTTAGACATCACACAGAATTTCACAGAATACAATTTTGGAATTGGTGTTGCCACACCCTCATCAGGAAGTAAGTGGTAGGTAGTATAAAACTGCCTGAGTTGGAATAGTTCTGTCACTGTTCCACAGTTTCTGTACTTCTATTACTTGTTTTTTGCTTTTGTCCTTCACATTAGAATTATATATGTATAGCCGCATACCCTCTTACCTCCAAATCTACTGCTTTAATAGAGTAAAAAGAAAAGCACAGGGGCTCAATCTTCTGTCATTTTAGACTATGATAGGCAAAATGGTATTCTGCCATTGTAAAATTATTCCAGAAGTTAATTATTTGCATTCTGGAGGCATCTTTTTCCTGCTTCTTTACTGATGGTTGTACAAGGAACTTGCCCCAAGAAAGAAGGGTGTGTCAGTTCTGTGGAGCTAGTGGTAAGCATTTGTGTAGGAAGAACCTAGAGCACCTAATGAACTTCAAGGAACAAGTTGGGGCTTTGGGCTGCAAGCCATACTGTTTAGTTGAGAAATGTCTTATAGGCAAAGATAGTACATTAGAGTGTAAACTAAAATTCAGTGAGACGTAGCACATTAGAGACTTGCTTCAAATGTTACAATTATGAAATACTTAAGAACTGCTCTTTCAATGAGCTAACCTTTGGGGGAAACGTCATTATAATTATCCTCAGCATTTATATGCATTCTGTATTAAGGTTACACTCAAAAGTTGTTTTGCACAGCCAATAATGAGTGTGAGGTGTTTTAATAAATGGTTGGTTAATTTTTACATCTTAAAATTCAACAGATTATGGTATGGCTTTCAACCCGATATAATTCCTGAAATTATATTATTATAGCCCATTATGGGGTATATT